TATCCTTTAAGGGATGAGTAACTCTAGGGGGGGACCGCCACACCCTAGGGAGAGGGTCTTCATGCTCTAGGGTGGGGCTTTCATGCCTGAGCATGTGGAATTGCTGAGCCGATTTAGTTAAACTTTTAATTTCTCAAGTTGACATTATGTATCAACCACTACAATCCACCTCTTGCTGACTTGGCAACTAGACATATTTTTTTAAACCAGTCTCCACATATAAAGATATGCACATAATTGCACCTAACATGTTATAACTATTTTGTGCATAAACAGAAACACATCCATTTTCTTACCAAAATAGAAGGTAAGTTTTTTTTGTTGTTTGATGCTTGCATTTAATCATTTTATAACTTTAACATTAACACAGGTTTAATAATCTTTAAGAACTGGTATTAAATCTATTAATATTATATTGTAACAAAACCATATAGGAGCGAAACAGTATAATCATAATCCTCTTTTCTGTAGCTGATCACCAAGTCATAGCTGGCATTTAGAACTACCTTCTTCCACTACCCATTCTGTATTCCCTTGGACCTTCAGCAAGCACCTCAGCAGGCCTTGGATCTTTCCCTGGTGGAGTGACCCATCTCTTCATTCCTGAAGACTCTGGACCATTTGTCATTGTTCCTGTATTAGGTTGGTGTAGTTAGTTTCCCATTAAGTTTACTACCAGGGCATGGTAATAGTAAGAGGCACCCCAAGGGATCTCCTGCACTCCATGTATATTTTTTATTTTTTCTACTGGGGAGTAGTAATCCAATTTCCCCTTGACAGTCTGGGTCAACCACCCCTCACAACACTCACTTCCTTTTTAGATTGTTTTCTCAGAGGCCTGAGGAGATCAAAGTGACCAGGGGAAAATCCTAGCTTCTAGTTCAATGGTATCATTGTTGTGCTTCCTGGTACAAGCCTTCCCCATCTGGGACTAGGACTACTAGTCCAGCAGAATGTAAGGTTGTGGGGACAGGAGGCAAAATTTTACTAGTGGATCATTAGGGGTGATGGTGAGCGGTACCATTCCTACTCCTTGAGACTGTGAGCTAAACTAAATCTTGCCTCCTTTTGGTGTCAGGTATTGTGTTCCAGTGATGAGAAAGTTGACTACTACAGAGGGCTTCTTCCACAACTCAGCATGGTGCATCTGGGGCTCCCCTGTCCTCCATCTCCCCTCCTTTCGTCGGGCTCATGATCTGGTCTCTAGGAGAGAAGATTCCCTGAACTTGTAGGATCTGATTATGGCTGACAGCATGAGAACATAACACAGGCATGAGTCCATGACCCAGGCCAGGTTATCACTGATTCTTTTGAAGTGAAAATCAGTGGTGCACCCCTATCATCCTAGCACTCAGGAGGCCGAGGCAGGAAGGATCGCTGTAAGTCTGAGGCCAGCATGTGCTACACAGTGAGCTCATGACACCCTGAACTACATGGTGATACTGTCTCAAAATAAAACATCAAGGCATTAGGGAAGGCACGACCCCAGCACTGTAGTAACTGTGACCTGCGATACGTAAAGGTGGAGGTTGCAGTAAGAAGTAGTTAAGTAGGCCTCAGAGAGATAGGGAAGCAGACAGAGGAGGAAGAATGGAGTGGATCGTCAGGAAGGGAGGCAGGTAGTTAGGGAAGAAGGGGGGAGGGACAAATAGATAGACAGATAGATAGAAATTGACCCAATGGTATTCTAATCCAAACCCATAAATTTAATCATCCATGTTCTCTGGAGTCTCTTTCCAAGTTCTACTTTTTACTTTCTGAAAATCTATGACCTACTCTAGAAACTTTCTCTGACAAATAATTTCTGGGCTCACCTTTTACTTTTTGTTATTTGCCACCAGAAGAACCCTGAGCAAGGATCACACTCCCTCCTCCCCACCCTCATCTCCAAGGCCTCTGGCTTCTCTGAAGTTTTCTGGCTTCTTGGACAAGGTGACCTCTGGCTTTCTGTCCCTAAAAAGCCCTCAACCACACCCCCCTAGCCAAGCCCTGTGGCAGAGAGCGACAGTTTGCCCCATAAGAGCCCGTGGTTGGGTAGCATCTCTTCTGCTGTGTTCAATGCTGATTTTTTGTGCCTTTTAACTTTTGACAACCCTTTGCAACAGCGAAATGGCAAAATAAGTTGCTTTCCTTAAAGACACTGACAGATTGGGTGGTTTTAAAATAAGAGAACATCTAATTAAATGCCAATGAACACATTGTCCCTAAAATGGCATGAAGCCATCAGTTTCCTGGATGCTCTGGCTTTTGTGCATAAAACTTGAATCAAGGTTAAAGATGGACTGGATTTGTGTAATAAACCATGTGTGATAACCAAGGTATGCCAGGCACTGTGCTAGGCTCACGGACTCCTGTGGGCACTATGAAATAATCTTTTTTTTTTTGTGTGTGTATGTTTTTTAGGGAAGGGTCTACAGGGTGTTCAGGGTCTCACCACTAGATTGGACTCGTAGTGATCCTCCTGTTTACAGTCTCCCAAGAGCTGGGATTACAGGTATGTGGCACCACGCACAGTCTCAATTGCCGTCTCAGTGCACCCCAGGGGTGGGGCTGGCATAGCAGGCCTGGGGATCGAACCCCTGGCCCCGGTGCCTGCTTGCAGGCACTTTAATCCACTGAGCTATTTGTCTGGCCCTTGAAATAACCTTATTTATGCCACATTCCAGAGATGCCATCCAAGTTGTAACAGAGTGCTGTTATTTTTCCAGGGAAGACCCCTCCTTAAAATACCCTGTAGCCGTTATTGCTAAAGAGCACACACAAACTCCGTGTCTGGTTATGAATTGGCCATCCACCCGCCCTCAAAGGAGAGAGGACTTCTGCCTTCTCTCTGCAAAGCCAACGTCCTCCAGCATCCGGCCACACCTGGATGAGGTTGGAGGGGCTGCGGTCCTCCTGCCAAACGCCACCGCATTGTACTGACAGAGCAGCCACGTCCTGCCATTCCTTGTCCTGAGAGGTATCTATTTGGAACTTCTTCCAGAGAAAACAGTGACAGCTCCCTCCTTGATCTTCTGGCTTGGTTCCCGGGGAGCCCTCTCGTGCCATGTTTTATTCATGGTGTCCTCCCAAGCCGGATTCTTTATTGTAAGAGTCAGTGGGGGGGGGGGGTAGGGACAATAAAGGAACCTGAAATAAAACTTGAATGTCATCATAAAATTGCCCCTTTGTGTGCTAAAGCCTGATAGCCTGAGTCTGAGATTCAGGAAAAGACTGTTTTGAGGATTTTTAAGGCAGAGCCTTTGCAGAGAGAAAAAAAAAATTATATATATATATAGATATATATATATATATCTATATATATATCTATCTCATTATTTATATTGTGTTGGAGTCATGGAAGAAGTAGGTCAGAGGAATCAAAATAAACCGTGCTGGGAGACGTGATGAGCTTCAGACACCTGAGAGTGTGGTCAGGAAGGATGGGCTGGTGGACGAGAGGGGCAGCCCGGCAGATGCTAGACTGGCAGAGACGTGTACAGGTAGGAAGCCTGAGGAACGCGTGGAGTAAATATTTCTTCTAACCCCTCAATTTCCTTACCCCCAGCTGCCTTCCCTGTAATGCTAGAATCAGACTCCATCTTCCTGGACCCTTGAATTTAACCGCCTGCTGACTGAACATCCTCAAACATAGAGTTGCATTTGTACCACACACGTGCAGACATGTTTTTCTTGACATTATTCCCCAAACAATGTAGTACTACAAGTACTTAGGCAGTGTGTGCATTGTATTAAGCATTATTAGCAATCTAGAGATGATCTAAAGTGTCTGGAGGGACATGTGTAGGTTATATATAAATATTATACTGTCTGATGAGTGATTTGCTTATCCTGGGATTTTAGTAGCCATGAGAGTCCTAGAACCAATGCCCCATGAATACCAAAGGCTGTGTACGAGATGTGATCAGGGTACATGGTAGATATTTATTTAATTGACTCTTTTTAACTTTTTTATGTATTAAGTACAAGGTCGACAGGGTCTCACCACATAGAAGGGACTCGTAGTGATACTCCTTCTTGCAGCCTCCCAAGCGCTGGGATTACAGGTGCGTGCCACCACACCCAGTCTCAATTGCCATCTCAGTGCGCCCTGGGGGTGGGGCTGGCATGGTGAATATTTATTTATTTTTATTTTTTTACAGATCTTTTATTTTTTAAATCTAATTCTTTATTTGGCACAGGGTCTCACTATGCAGCTTGGACAGCTTGGACTCATAGTGGGGCTGGCACAGCGTGTGGTACTGGGGATCGAATCCGGGTCCTTAGGCTTGCCAGGCAGGCACTTAGACCACCAAGCTATCTCCCCGGCCCCATGGTGGATATTTAAATCTAAAAAACTTATCACAGTAAAGGACACGCTGTCTCTCAAAATAGTCCCTCTTACTTTGGACACAGTGCTCCCACCATTCCTGCTGCTCTCTGCAGTAGTTTTGGAAGCCCATCTTTGTTAGGAGGTCTGATCCCAGATCAGCGAGTGCAGTTGTCACGTGCCATCCACCGGAAAGGCAGAGTCGTGAACCCGCGACAGCGCGTCCTCGGCCACCTCACTCCCCAGCTGTGGCACTGCGCGGCTCCTGGCTCTTTCCCAGAGTCAGGGTGACCACGAAAGGTGAAGCTTTTGAATCGATTCGGGACACTGAAGCAGCCATAACAGGGCAACTAAAGACACTAAGAGAACTTCCAGATCTGTCTCAGGAAGTGGCGGGGACAGCGGGATCATTGTGTTCATAGCGAGGGGAAGTGCTTTGAAGGGTCATAATGGCAGTGTGTGTTTCACTGTAATGCACTTAAAAAAAATTTAAACACTCCCTGTATTTTTCCATGACACCTGGTATATATCTTTACTCTACTACTTAAGTGCTTGTAGTGTAGAAAATATTTACTCATTCCTCTAGCTGTCCCCAGGCCCTCAAGAGAACCAATGCCCAGCCACCACAGGGCACGGAGTCTGTTACCTTGTAGCATCTTGTATGTACACACGACATGTTCAGGGTGCATACCTTGAGAATTATGGCCTTCTCACGACGAGTGATGTTGATGCTGTGAGGCTGCCCGTTGGCCATGTTCCTGTGGTCTACATCGATATTGTACGGCTCTCTAGTGCCACCCAGGTTGTACCGGATCTGTAAGTTTCCTACAGGAGAAAAGGAAAGAGACCAGTGATTTCCCGTTTCCTCCCAGTGTCACATCCTCCCCTCTAGCAGCTCGGCACTCCATAAACTCAGCTTCTTCCTCCTTCGCCCATTGGTAGCTCTACAGTTTGAGTTGGGGTACACCGACCCGTCGTGGTGAACAGACCAGGCTCACGGGCATTCACCACCTGCCAACCATGAGCTTCAAGCTCCAGGATCACAGAGTTGAAATAACAAATGCTATAAATGTTCCAAGCCAAGACCTTGGGTGGGTGGAAAAAGAGAAAAAGAACATCCGTGGCTTAGGATGGTAGGGACCCTTTGGGGGTCCCCTGGAGTACTGAGTGAGAGAAAAACAAACGCAGAGCACAGAGATGGGGTTGCTCGATCAGTACAGTGTGACATTTGGCATAGAAAAGAACCATGAGCTTCCAGCATTAAAAATGAACATAATTTGCAAAAGGTAAGTCCATGGGATTTTGAATGGCCTTGCTGAGAGCAGGAAACAAAGTGAGGAATTTTGTTGTGGGTTAGAGATGAACCGAGGTGGTAGGCAAATGTGTGTCCTAGGTCCCAGGCTGTCTCGCAGGGACTGTTCACTTTGGCTCCTTAACTTTCTTTGTTTTCTCCTTGGTTCTTCCCAAGAATGACAACTACTAATCAAGCAAGGCTGATAGGGCCTCCTAGATCCTTAATCCACAAAGAATCCATGGCTTTATTTCTTATTTATGATTTTTCAGAGTCATCAAGGTTTTTCTCATATTTAGCTTAAATTGGGATTTTTAAAGAATTTAAAAAATTTAAACTATGCAGTTCGGACTCATAGTGATCCTCCTGTCTCAGCCTCCCCAGCACTGGAGTTATAGGTGTGTACCACCACACACAATTTCAGGGAGCATATGGTACCAGGGATCAAACTCAGGTCCTTGTGCTCACCAGAAAGGTGCTTAGACTGCTGAGCTGTCTCCTCAGCCCACAAATTGTGGATATTTTGTGCTGCTAATAGTGTTTGACATCTCAGAGCTTAAAAAAATGGAGCCAGCACTCTGCAAGAGTTTGACCAACAGTCAATCATCCGCTTTTTAAATTTTTTTTTTTATTTTAGGGAAGGGCCTACAGGGTGTTCAGGGTCTCATTACTAGCTCAGACTCATAGTGATCCACCTGTTTACAGCCTCCCAAGAGCTGGGATTACAGGTGCGCGCCACCATGTCTAATGGGTTTTTTGTTGTTTCTTTCATTTTCCTTCTGGAAAAATAAGATGGGTAATTCTGATTTTTAAATGATTGGCTAAAACAAGATGATCCCAACTGAGAAATAAACAAAAAGAAAAGAGGAAAGAGAAAGAAGGTCCACCTGCAACCCCATCACCCAGGAATGTCCTGGCAGCCTCTCCTGCTAGACACTTTGTGCAGGCAGATGTGCGCGCGCGCGCACACACACACACACACACACACACACAGAAATGCAGTGCTTCCTAGATGCTGCCTTCCTTCCTTAGGCCTCCTAGCACCGTACATGCCATTTAAAACCCACCCTCTTCCTGGGTTTGAGAAAAACATTTGTTAAGAAAATCAAGAATGACAGGGCCAGTGAGATAGCTTAGGGGACTAAACGCCTCCTTAGGCAGGTGCAGGGACTGGGGTTCGATCCCTGGTAGCACATGCTGCACCAGCCTAGCCCCCAGACACACTGAGCTGGCACTGAGTCCGGGCATGGTGGTGCACGACTGTAATCCCAGTGCTGGGGAGGCTGAACCAGGAGGATCACTAGGAGTCTGAGCTTTGGAGTAAGACCTTGTACCAAATATCTATATCTATATATATATTCAGTAACCCTTTTTTTAAAATTTTTTTTTAATTTATTTGAGAGAGAGAGAGAGAGAGAGAGAGAGAGAGAGAGAGAGAGAGTGTGGTGTGTGTGTGTGGCCAGCTCAGCCCACCAGGGGGCAGGGCTGGCTGGCATGTGGTGCTGGGGGATTGAACCGCGGTCCCTGATGCTTTGCTAAGCTTGTTCTAAGTAGGTGCTTTAGACCACTGAGCCATCTCTCCAGCCCTTCAGTAACCCTTTAATAGTTATGAGCTTCATCTTAGCACTTTATTTTTTTTGTGTGGGGGGAAGGGTACCGGGAGTTGAACTCAGCACCTCTTGCTTGCCAGGTAGGTGCTGTGCCACTGAGCTAAATCCAGCACTTGTTGGTTATCTGCATGCATGACTTCCACGCCTTCAGATATCTGCTCTCGTGTTATCGTTTCAGTGATCATTTCTGTGACTTCCTCAAAAGAGTGGAAACTGCCCATTCCATTTCCTGGGCCTCGTCTTCCCTTTTCTGCTTTGTTTTTTCCACACACACAACTGTCCTCACCATGCACCGTCCTGTAGGTTGCGTTTAGCTAATTTGCCTGACCTTCTTCTCTTGTCTAACTGTAAGCTCCATGACAGCAAGAAGTGTTGGCTTCTATTCCTTCTGCCCTTCTGCCCCTGGCAGGAACAGTGCTTGACCAGTCATAGGTGCTTAACGAGTATTTGTTGAACAAATTCATGAAGGATTGATCCCCTTCCCCTTGCTTTCTTTGCATAGCGGATCGAGGGGTCTTTTACAAATGCATAATTGATTGTTTCGCTGGTTCATTTAAAATCTTGCCAAGGCTTCCCACAGCACGCAGGACGAGGACATCGGCTCTGAACACGGCACAAGGATGCTTTGCCTTGGGCTCGGCTTACTACTTTAGTTTCAAACCATGCTCCTCTCCTCTCCCTTTTAACATCTGAGAGAGCTTGACTTCTCTGATTCCTAGAAAATCCCACTTTCCTCCTATCTTGGGGCCTTGGAAAAATGTGCTTCCCCTTGCTGAGTGGTCTCCCCACCCCTCAGCGTTTCATGAATCTTCTTTTGCTCCCATTGCACTACAAATAATCTCTGTTTGCAAGTGCAAGAGATGATTAGGCGAAGGCTTGGCTGCACGCGCCACACGCCAGTTGCCAGGCTTACGTTTTTGCTTCTGCTTGGCTAATAGTGCTCCGACATCACCCTGAAGCAGACAGTTTTCTGAAGTCTGCAGCTGCATTGGTTGGGCCTTCACTTCTGCAGTTTTCACTTATCCACTACTGAGTCTTTGGGCAAAGCAACTTTCCTCAAGGTATGAAAATGGGGTTTGTGTGACAGGTGCGGAGGTCACTTTCCATGCAGACAACCGTCCTGAGTCCCCAGGCATGGCCTGGGTGCTGGGTGTGGATTTGGGCCCACAAAGACACATGAGAGGCTCTGAGCTTGGGCGCTGGGGCCCAGTGCGGGGACACCACGCCAACCCCGGCTCTTTCCTTCCCGAGTGTCTCTCTGCCAGTGGCCCCTTTGTGTCCTGCGGCTGTATTAGAATCAGCGTTGTCTTTATTACTTTTTTTCTGGCTTTTTTGGTTTTGTGAGTTTGATTTAAAATTTCTCTAAGTGCTTCACTTAATGGTAATAGAAATTGTTTGCTTTGAGGGGAGAAAAAGATGAGCCGGAACTTTAAATTTATATGCAGTGAATATCTATGAACAATAATGGCCATATTCTTGAATAATAAAATCCAAGTGATGTATTTATTCTTTTCAAATCATAGCAGAGGAGGACCCCTGAATGATGGTAAGGAGAATGTTAATATTTACCCATTAAAGTAAAATATTATTCAAATGGAGAGATACTTCACTTCTACCTTGCGTTCATCTCCCAAGTGAATTAAAGCTGTTGTATGGGGCTTCTTGTTTATTGGCTGCAGCAAATAACATGCTTAACAGATTTATTCTTCCCTGGTCATCATCATTCCCATCAGCAAACACTTAGAGGGCACCTACCGTAGGCAGGAGGTGTCACGTGGGGAGCTTTTCATCTTGCTGGGAAGGCAGGGCGTGTTTACAACAGAGACAGATAACTCTGCGGTGTACGAAGGGCCAAATGGATGACACTGGAAAGAAGTATGATTGGAGGGCAGGAGGACTCACTGCAAGGAGGTGAGATTTGATCCGGCTTAGAATTAAAAGCAGAGGGAGGTGAAGGTTTCAGGGTCTGGGAGTCTCGGGAGCACGGGGGGCAGTGGGCTCAGATGGCCACGTGGAGACCGGAAGCTGGGCTTCTCGCGAATGAAGCGTCGAGGGTGTTGGGTAGCTGGGAAAATGTGGATTGAATCAGTTCACTCCAGTCATGGTAACTGCTGGCTCTTATCCACGGTCATTGCCTGTATGCGCTAGGAGGCACTTTAGATTTATTTGATTTTTACAGGGATCTAACAAAAGAGACACTGTTTTGCAAACCAGGAATCTTAGGCACGGAACTGCTCCCTGAGTATCTGCAGCAAGTGGCCAGAGGTAGAAGAATTCAAATCTGGACCTCCGGACTCTTTGCTGCCACCAGGCTGGTGGGCCATGCCCGGAAGTTTGGGCGACCAGGGTCTTCTCCTGGTTTCACTCTGGCCACCTTATAGGTTTACTAGAGACATGACTGGATGTTCCTGATAAACAACACCCATTCAGGAGGATGGCTCTGGCCATGGGGTGGAGGTTGGGTGATTCTGGAGCCCTCATGCGCAGGGATGGGCTGGGGCAGGGCTCCCCAGTGGGCAGGGGAGGGTCCTTGTCCAGGGCAGGGTCCCCACAGCCCGGCAGATCTGTGAGGGACAAGGTGGCCGGCATCTCTCGAGGAGGGGCTGTCTCCAAAGGCCTCCCCATCCCTTAACTCATGGGCCACTCAACTGAGATTCATATTCTCTATGGTACATGCCATATTGGGAAATACTAAGCTAGAAAGTGTCTGCCTTGGAGAGTAGTGGCAGGGGGCGGATGGGGCAGTGGCAGCTGACTCCACCAGACTTGTTTGCCTGAATGGCTGCCAATAGGGGAGGGCAGCGCGTCATGAACAGGGCTCAGGAGGCTGCCAGGCGAAGGTGAAGGTGGCCATCAGAACAGGATGCTCCAGGCCCCTGCTCTGGGAGACACCGACTGGGCTTTTCAGTGCATGAGGCTTCCTAGATATTTAGTTAAAGCCTTTAATTTGTTTGCTTATTCCCTTGAATGCATTTCTCAAATTTATCTCTAACTTTAAATGTCAGTGAGTAAAAAAGGCAGTATTTAGAGGGTGAAACGGCTACATTTTCTCTAGCAGCTTGACACTGGCAGATCACTGAGGTCTTCCCAGGGAAGGTGTGAGGACAGGTGCCACCTTCCAGAACCGTGTGGCTCATGGGAGTCAACTCCTGTGGAACACTTAAGACAGTGCTGGGCATAGGAAACAAAAGTTTCATGGAATGGTGGTCACTAGTGTGGAAAACACTGCTCTAATCCCTCATGCCAAGAATGTCCCCAACCACAAGTGCACGTGCATGCGGTGGTGGGCGTGGATACCAAGACTGTGCAGTATCAAATACAGCTGGGACTCCAGTTTAGTGTGGCAGTGACTGAGGGCCAGGTGACGCAGTGCATACGCGTACAGGTGAGTCACACTCTTGTCAGTCTCTCTGGCTGCGGAGGGAGGTGAGAAGCAGCCGCAGCACACGTGACCACGGAGAGGCTGGCGCGCATGCGTAGGGAACATGCATGAATTAAAATCTATGGACTGATCCAGGACAAATACATCGGTAAACTCCTGATAAGCAGGACTCACATACTTTCGTCTCCTGCACTCCTTCTGATTTTACTTACTTTTTTTTTTTCCCCCAGATTAGTAAAGTGGCATTTGATCACTATGAGCACCTAAAATGTACAGAAGACCACCACTCGGGGGAAACAAAGCCCCCACAACCCAACCAAATACTCCACACTTGTACTGGCACTTTCCTCTCCATTCATTGGTGCTTTACACAGTTAAGCTCATCTTATAGATTTACGGCTGTGCCTTTTGTTGGTGTAGTATTACGTTATATAAAAATTGT